CCCTTCCCTTATCACCGTGGTCTAAACCGCTCCCTTCCCTTATCACCGTGGTCTAAACTGCTCCCTTCCCTTATCACCGTGGTCTAAACCGCTCCCTTCCCTTATCACCCTAGCTCTCACCCTTCCCTTATCACCGTGGTCTAAACTGCTCCCTTCCCTTATCACCGTGGTCTAAACTGCTCCCTTCCCTTATCACCACGGTCTAAACCGCTCCCTTCCCATTATCACCCTAGCTCTAAACCACTCCCTTCCCTTATCACCACGGTGTAAACTGCTCCCTTCCCATTATCACCCTAGCTATAAACCGCTCCCTACCCTTATCACCGTGGTCTAAACCGCTCCCTTCCCTTATCACCGCGGTCTAAACCGCTCCCTTTCCATTATCACCCTAGCTCTAAACCACTCCCTTCCCTTATCACCGTGGTCTAAACCGCTCCCTTCCCTTATCACCCTAGCTCTAAACTACTTCCCCCCTTATCATTGTAGTCTAAACCTCTCCCTCCCCTTATCACCTTAGTCTAAACCTCTCCCTCCCCTTATCACCATAGTCTAAACCTCTCCCTCCCCTTATCACCTTAGTCTAAACCTCTTCCTCCCCTTATCACCGTAGTCTAAACATCTCCCTCCCTGTATGACCCTAGCACTGATACAATCAATGAGAGGGCTCTTGGGAGGAGTTATGTAAATATGAAAATGCCTGGATGGATGGGTGTCAGTCTGGAGGATCACCTTAGGTATCACCCACATGTGACGCTGAGCCTCCGTGATGGAAAGAACTGAAATCTAATTAATTAAAGGGGCGGGGCCAGAGACAGTTAGGCGGGGGGAGGAAAGAGCTAGTTGATCCTGGATGTCCTGCAGTCAGGAAAAGAGGCGGAGCTCTATCCGACTTGCTGCAGCTTCTAATGCACATTGTGAGCAGTGACATCAGAGGAAGAGGGGAGGAGCTGGTACAACTGTGCAAGAGTGAAGGGAAGGACGGAGGTCAGATAGAAGACTGAAGGGGAGGACGGAGGTCAGATAGGAGACTGAAGGGGAGGACGGAGGTCAGATAGAAGACTGAAGGGGAGGCCGGAGGTCAGATTTAAGCTGGACACTATTTACATTCTGATTCATTTTTTTTAATAATTCAGAATATGTTTCAGTTTTGTGAAGAAGGAAAAGAATGATATAAATGTATTGTTTATCGCAGAGACAATGTATCATTAATATCTCTTTCCTGCGCACCTCCAGGGATTGGCAGGCACCGATGTGGCCAAGGAAGCCTCGGATATCATCCTCACAGATGACAACTTCTCCAGCATTGTGAAAGCTGTAATGTGGGGCCGCAACGTGTACGACAGCATCTCCAAATTCCTCCAGTTCCAACTGACCGTCAACGTGGTAGCCGTGATCGTGGCATTTACTGGGGCCTGCATCACTCAGGTCAGTACGTCCTCCGCCACGTTGTCACCAAGGTCCAGGCCATTCCTAACCCATGTTATCCTGCCACCCGGACATACACACATCAAGAGAGAGACAGCCGGCGTCTCATGTCTATAGATAGAGCATTGGATGCGTGGCGCTCATCCCCCGAAGGAGCCGCTGGTGGCCCGGGTCATCTCTGGTCGGTCTAGGGCAGTGGTTCTCAACCTGTGTAACCTCAGGACCCACATTTGTCCTCGGTCATTAGGTCGCGACCCAAGTTGCACTGCAACGGAACACACGGATGAAGCTCCATCGCGGCCATAACCCCAGACCACCCCACCTCAAGCCAACACTTGGGCAGTATATTTTGAATGGCTGCTCGGCACGAGAACTGACAGCGCTGTGCTAGGGGAAGGCTGAGGAGCCTCTCACCTAGAAAAGTGGAAGCCATGCGGTGACCCACTGAACACGGGGTCGCGACCCACCAGTTGAGAACCAAGGGTCTAGGGGATGTTCTTCAGCTGCCCGTCCAATAGCACTAACCGCCCTTCTTCTAGGTGTCCAGGGGTGACCAACAGAAGCTCCAGACTTGTGTATCCTCTCCGGCTGACATGCTCCATGTGTTTTTGGTCTTGCCCACGGGTTGGCAAACTTCTGGACCCAGATAAGAGATGTCCTGCGACATTTCACTGAGCGCACCCGTCCATTGGATCAGGCGTTCTCCACACCACAATGACCACTCCCTGAAGGGCTATAAAAGCTCTGTTCTTATTCATTTGGTGAATGCAGCAAGAGCATGCATTCCCGAAACAGTCCGCTCCTCCTACTATGGGCCAATGGGTACGCCGGGTCAATGACATCAAGCATATGGAGGATCTAACGAGCTCTCTGAGGGGGTGCAGTACATAGGTTCTCGGCCACGTGGTGGTTCTGTTGGACAGAGTTCCTGGAATCCGACACCTACAGACAACTACGGGGAGTTCAGGGGCGTAACCAGAAATCGTATGGTCACACTCCTTACCTGTCCGCCTCCTCTTCCTCCGTCTTCCCTCCTCCGGCGCCGGGCCCGCCACCTCCTCCGTCACCGGCCCCGCCTCCTTCTCTGTTGCTGACCCCGGGCCCCACCTCCTACCCTGCCCGGATCCAGCCTCCTCCACCGCCGCTGCTGGCTCTCATTGACTCAGCGGCGGCTGTGAAGAAGAACGCAGCGCTGCACTGATCACCGACAGTGATCTGAACAGCGGCGCGTTCGCAGCCATAACGACCCAGGCAGCCCGAACGGCATCAGGGGGGTGTCCTGGCCAGGCCCCCCTGTGCCCGGGCCCCATAGCGGCCGCCTGGGTCGCTATGGCGATTGTTACGCCAGTGGGGGAGTTTGATTCAGTGGGACCCTGGTCGTCGTTCCCCCATCCCCATTCCACCGAGCACTCTTTGGTCCTTTATCCTTTCACTACCCCTCCATCCCTCTGCCGTGTCCCCATGTCTTTGTGGATCTGTGTCTTTGCCGTACGTGTCACGGTCTGCGACCGGGGCACACAAAATGACAAAAGGTAGCGTGCAAAAAATGGTGTCTGGGGTGAAAACACAGGAAGTAGGTGTCTGTGCGTTAACAGGGACGCACTAGAGGCGCAGGTTCTAAGAAGGACCAGGTCTTCCACAGAGCCTCTAATGGTGAGGATGATTGGCTGCTGGACACCTTCCAGGTTGCGGCCCTCTAGCGCGCCCACACAGACATAAAGGTTAGTTGCAGCACCGTGGTGCTGGATGCATCAGCAGACAGGGTTGAAGCCTATACACAGCCACACAAGTAGGCACAGGTGCAAGGACTCGCTTGAAGAAGCTGATGATCCATCCAATGCAGGACGTACAGGATCTCGCTGTGAGGAAGAGGGAATCCAGAGTCACAGGAAACAAGGTAGGTGGTGGGCAACCGCAGGGATTACAGAGGCAAGAGATAAAACAGGAAGTCCGGCTGGGGTGTAAAGACGCGTTGCTGGAACGGCACGGAACAAGTGGGCTGGACTTTTAATGGGGAGGTTCAGAGTGGGTTGGCAGGAAGCCGAGCAGCTCAGACAGGAGGTAAAACCCGGCACCGGATCATCACACAGGGAAGGTGTGACAATATGGCATCGTGCTATTAACATTTTCTTTATTTTTGTATGTTTTATATCTGTAAAAATTGTTTAATAAAATAAGAATTTATAAATAAAAAAAAATAAAGGCCGAGAGCCATTTCTTAGATTTTATTTTATCTTTCGATGCGCTTATCGTTTAGGACTCGCCACTAAAAGCAGTGCAGATGCTTTGGGTCAATCTAATTATGGACACGTTTGCATCCCTGGCGCTGGCAACAGAACCCCCTACAGAATCGCTGCTTCTACGCAAACCCTACGGCAGAAACAAGCCCCTTATATCTCGCACCATGATGAAAAACATCCTGGGCCACGCAGTCTACCAACTCGTCATCATCTTCACGTTGCTGTTTGCTGGTAAGTGTCGATAAAGTTGCTTCAGGTTGGTCGATTGACGGCAAGGAACACTCGCCCGCCAGCCCCTATAATAATGCCCGACAATCATAAACATTGGTACTTGAGCCCACAACATTTTATGGGGAAGGTTAGAACTTCCGACGGGTTTATTTTCTATTATGGCCGCTATATGGGAGAATAGGATTTTGGAGCATGAGGTTCCCGTTGTAATTGGATGCCCCAGTAGGGTGTGACTCTCTAGTACATAAGGGCCGCTGGGTTATTGGATCAGCCCCCCCCCCCCCCCCCCCCCCCCAAAAAAAATAAACAATTTTATTGATAAATAAGAATGAATTCCAAGCCTGGACTAGGGCCAATTTGAGGAAATCTGTCAAAAATTGGCACCAACCCCCCAAATTTTGGATTTCCTTTTACTTTCTGTCTCTGTGATAATGGTCACAAGGGCAAATAGAGAGGGTTACTGTACCCATGGGCGACACGTGGGTTCCAATACTTCCATACGCTATCCAGAAATAAAATAAAAAAAGAACTATTTTATTGATGAAGAAGACAGAATTCCAAGCCTGGACTAGGGCAAATTTGAGAAAATCTGTCAAAAATTGGCACCACCACCCCAAAAAATACATTGTAACCATTGGGATGTGTTTGTGTTTTTGCTACATTTCTATCTGCTGTAGACCTCCTGCTTTCCAGCTCCCTCGTCAACTCCTCCCGTACTCGCCTCCAGGACTTCTCTAGAGTCTCTCCCATCCTCTGGAACTCGTTACCCCAACCTGTCCATCTGTCTCCCACCTTGACTGCCTTTAGGCGATCCCTTAAGACTCATCTCTTCAGGGAAGCCGATCCCACCTCACCCTAACCGCTCAACCATTCACCCCCACACAGCTCCCTCCTCATGTATCACTGGCCCCTCCCCTTTTAGAGTGTAAGCCCTCAGGGGCAGGGCCCTCCTCACCATCTCGTATTGTATTGTGATTGTAATGTCTTCCTTATATTGTACAGCGCTGCGCACACTGTTGGCGCTCTATAAATCCTGTATAATAATAATGATATCTGCCGTCTAGGTGAAATCATCTTTGACATCGACAGTGGTCGCAACGCCCCGCTGCACTCCCCTCCCTCCGAGCATTACACCATCATTTTCAACACCTTCGTCATGATGCAGTTGTTTAACGAAATCAACGCGCGAAAAATCCACGGGGAGAGGAATGTATTCGACGGCATTTTCGCCAACCCGATATTCTGCAGCATAGTGCTGGGCACTTTCGGGGTCCAGGTGAGAATCTCTTCCATTTCGTTTCACCACACTGCTCACTCGGAGCCGTGATCACTGAGACATATGCCACATAACATGTACGGTAGCACGCAGGGGTTGCTTCATAACAATTAAAAGTAGAGGTGCGCCGAAATGGAAATTTCAAAAACCAAACCGAAATGAAAAAAAAAAAATTTCAGGCCGAAACCGAAAATGTTTTTTTATTTAAATTGTTTCAAATTTTTTTTAATATTTTATTTTGATTTTCTTTTTTATAAACTTTTTTACATTTTTTTTATAATAATTTTGTATCTCTCAGAGACACACAGAGCCCTCAGAGACACAAAGAGCCCTCAATCTCTTATTCTGTATCCCCTGTTATAAATGAACAGGAATCCTCCTGTTCATTGATAACTTGAGAATATTGTATGTTTACTATAACCACAATCATGAATGAACAGGAAGTGATGTAGATGTGATGTAGATCACTTCCCATTCATTCATAATTGAGGATATAGTAACCATATCATGTCCTCAATTATTTCCAAATCACTGACTGCTTGTACCCGCTCTCCTCTCTGATACGCTGTCACAGGAGGCTGAGCGAGCGGTGCGGGGAGGAGAGCTCAGCCTCCTGTGACAGTGCTGTCTCCGCCCCCACACCGCTCTGCCGCACTGTGATAGGAGGCTGAGCGGTGTGGGAGGAGAGACGCCGGCCGCTCACAGCGCTCTCCTCCCGCAGTGCTCGGCCGGCTGTGCTAGTTTCTCTCCTCCCCGCTGGGACACAGAGCAGCGCCCAGCGGGGAGGATAGAAAGCAGGGGGATGCGCAGATGTATCGGCAGAAAAATGGCACTTTCAGGCATTTAGCCAAAAGTGCCATTTTCGGGCCGATATGTTTCAGCGGCCGATATATCGGTGCATCCCTAATTAAAAGACATGAAAGTGCATGCATAAAAAGGAAACAACAAAACCATCGCGCCAACAGGTCTCGTGACCAGTGTTTGGGCCGATAAAATAACACTTAAAGCCCGTCTCCGGGGAAACAAAACAACTGCCCTGGCCGTGGGGCTACTCCTGCACACCGCAAGGATTAAATGCCCATGTTTGTCTAGGTGCTGGAGTAAAGCAGATTTACGTACCTTACCCCCGTTTCCCCCCAGCGTTCAGTGCTCTCCTCTTCTTCCTATCCTCTCCGGCTGGTGGGATGTCCATTGCAGGGCCTGTAACTAGAAATCACAGGGCCCCATAGCAACATTTTGTATGGGGGCCCCGTGATTTCTAGTTACGCCCACCTGATATCCCAAACAACCCACCTGAGGGTGACCCTGCAGAGCCCACCGTAGACTCTCTATAGCGGGCTCTGCAGGGTCTCAGGTGGGCTGGTCAAACCCTCTTACCCGTCTGCCCCAATCGCTCTCCGCCTCCTCCTCCTCCGTCGCTGGACCCCGCCTCCTCCATCGCCATGCCCCAACTCCTCCATCGCCGCGCCCCTGCCTCCTCCTTCACTGCCGACACCGGCGTTCTATAGAAAGCTCCGACTTGTCGAGTTCTCCGACTGGGCACGTCGCATCCGGTGACTGCCAGTAGATGTACAGCAGAGGGAGCCAGTGCGCATGGCCTCCTCCTCCTCCGCATCGGCTGGCTGTCACTGATGCAGCAGCGGCTGTGAGGAGGAACGCGCCGCTGCGCAGATCACTGACAGGTTGTCAGTGATCTGAACACCGGCGCGTTCCTCCTCGCAGCCGCCAGTGACAGCCAGCAGCCTGAGATGCCATAGCGACCCAGGCGGCCCGCACAGCATCAGGGGGATGCCCTGGCCAGGCCCCCCTGTGCCCTGGGCCCCATAGCGGCTGCCTGGGTCGCTATGGTGATTGTTTTCCGCCACTGGTCCCTTGGCTTCCTCACGTCTAATGGAAAATATAGGTCTATGGTAGATGTGATGACATCAGTGGTCCTTAGACCACCAGAGTCCAGTGAAGAAGAATGCTGCGGTGGCCGGTCTAGCAGCTCGGAGGGAGCTGGAGGAGTGGTGAAGAAAAGAAAGATGGCGGGCTGGGACTCTATGGCCAGTTGGCCGTTCACAGCAGGACCACGCTGGATTGGCTGGGCAGGTGAGCGTGCTGTTT